GCCGTCGCCGTCGTCGTCGCCGCAGTCCATGTCATGATGGCCAGTCAGGAAGTACGGCGCGGATGAAGACACCCGTGTCCGTCACTGGTGTCGTCGCTGTCATTGCCGCAGCGGCGGAAGCGAACACTTTGCACTCATTTTTGCATCAAGCTCTACTTTGGACAACCCGACGAACGACGACGAACGACGACGAAGACACACGGTTGACAGCATCGACCCATTTTCTCTCCAACCTTTGAACGTGTTGCCCAACCGTCATCACCGATCACCGATCACCGCCTCTTCGTCACTCAACCCGCTCGTCGCCGCGGTCACGCCGTGACCACTAGACTGCACCTAAGGACCCGCTCCGTTATGCGTTGTGCCGCATTCGGGTCGACTCATTGGCCTACAACCGATGCGTTATCGACCAGCCGTCTTCCGCGCACCCTCTCCTAGCCATCAGGCTGAGTCGGCAACCGAGGGTCGAGAAGCACGCTGAAAAGTATCCGCCAAGTCGCTCGCTCTACTTCCGACAATTAGGCTAGATACTTGTTGTTTTAGCACCTGTTTCGAGGTCAGTCACAAAAAATCATCAACTACTCTTGCTTTGACACTCGGCCCATCACCAGGCTCGTCAGTGCCGCCACGTTGTTTTATGATTTTTCAGATGACCTCGTGCCCGGAGAACAACCTCTCATCGTTTGGTCACATTTTCACCGCCCCTTTGCACGGCTCTGCCTTGATCCTGATGGCCACCCTGGCGTTAACCCGTTTTACCTGCCATTCCCGTCTTGCTGTTCTGCTCCATCCATCTTCCATACGTACTTTCTTTATCATTTTCTGTCGTTGTTACTAATTCTTATTGCTCATATATTTAGTATTCATAATCGCATAATTTTAACGTTCGCATCAACGCAACAGTGTAAACAGGGGCCATGTTTTCTACTCAAACTCTATTCTACTACTGGTTTTGGCAAAACGATGAGATGAGGATCTTACTTTAGAGAGGGATGACACAGTTCAAAACATCCTACCAAATATCGTGCTGACCTACAGTACGCAAATAATACTGTGCTGCCGAAGAGTAAGGTGACGGTATTCTGCCGCCTGACATCCTGCATATGCAGCATAGCTCAGAAAATATAGTTATATCTTAGCGTCCGGAGGTCAAAATTTACGGGAACCCATCTCCCACAGCTGATCTACAAGTGGAACTGGGAGGAGAACCGCTTGAGGAAGTGGACCAATTTAAGTATCTTGCTTCCATAATCTCCTGCGATCAGGGCCGGATTAAGGCATGGGCTTTAGGGCCACAGCGCGCGCCCACGGGTCTCCACCATTGTCATTTGTGAATGCCAAATCAATGTATAAGTGCTCTAAATTATCTGTTTAAACGTCATCCAGTCTTATTGGTCTGAAAACTGACAAGACTGACGCGGTATTTACAGTTCCTGCGATAAATTCATAATTACAGCATGCCACTATATCATGCATATCAAGAATTACTGACTGAGATTTTAACGTGTGTGCCAATAATGTAGACGTTATTCGATTGACGAAGGCCTGACAGTAAAATGTCAGCTCGTTAAGCCCAGCGACAAAGGCCTACCTACCTTTTACACGAATTTCATGTTATTACGTTTTAATGGTGGTTAAATTATGTTTATTAAGTTTAATATTAATGATGTTCATTTTGCCGGTGCATTATGAAGTATTAACCTTACTCAATTAGTATTATTACGCTCAATAATTCGGCCAGTTAAGGGCAACGTTTATTTGAGGCTAGAACCTACTTGTTTTTCAGCTGGGGCCTACTCTGCGCCGCATCTTATCTGGTTTCGACTATTGCTTCTCTCAGGCAAATGCTATCTAAGCTCGCCTTGCCGTATTCTTCGGCAAACCGTATTCTTATCTGTGCCCCTGTCTGGTTCCGTTGAGTCGTGTCAGCCATAAAGTTGAATAAATAAAATTCAGTTAAATCAATATTTACCTATTGTTTTTCACTTTCAGACTAATCCTGTCAAAGAAAAAGTTTTAAAGTGGAGCAGACAAAAGAAAAAGACGAGAGAAAACGCAGAAGCATGAAGAACTTCTCGGTCAATCATCAAACTTATTTGATCTTGAGCTTAAACGCAAGGCAGGAGCAGAACAGGAAACAGAGCAAATAACAGATGCGTCCACTGACGGCAAAATCACTGAGGCACTAGAAGTTCAAGTTGTATCTGAAGATGCAAATGCCACAGGAGTTTATGCTGAGCTTGTCCCCCAAAAGAAGGATCACCTGGGATTTGAATATCAAAATGGCACTGGTTTGAGGAAAAATACAACAAAGGAGGCACGTGACGTTTGGTGTAAACAAGGTCCCTGTGGAATGCCAGCACCATAATGATGACTTTTCTTTATCCGAAGACAGTACTCTGATCAGAAAAGAAAATCTTCACGTTCATTAATGTTCTGGAAACAAATAACTGGTGATAAAATTTTAAAGGGAATGACTAATGTATTCATCCACAACCGGAAATGTACACAGCTTCGCTTGCGTTCTCATTGATGGATCAAAATCACGTTTTTCCGATGGCCGATTATCATACAGAAAACGCCTCTACACGGATTGCAGAACAAGAGAACATTCCTGGACATCTGGCCTCTATGATGGGATGGATTTATAGACGAAAAACACTTGAGCAAATTCGTTCAGTATTCGAAATCCAATTCACAAAGGAAAGAGAATCCTGGGCAAACGGGCTGCACAACAGTTTCAATTATAAAGTCCCGCTCTCGAGTATTAGCATTGTGTGAGGTACAGAAGTATTTAATTCTCAGTAGAACGGTAACTACTTTGTGAAATTTGAATTATTTGCAGAATACGATTTCTTCGTTCTCATATAGCAAAATATGGTAACCAAATACGAGGGAAAAGCTCCATATCTATTTTTGGCAATATGTGAGAGAGTCGTAAAAACTATGAGAAATAAAGTATCAATTACCAATGCAGAAGAAATCAAGGAAGCCAAATACCTTTCTCTAAGTGTTGGAATATCAGAAAATAAGGTTGCTGAACATTTTCTGACTTTCATTACCATTGAAAGTCACTTTGGAGAAGTTCTTGCCAACACTGTTTTGAAATTCTAAATTCGAACAAATTGGAATTCATGTAGCTAATGAGAACGCATCGAACATGTCAGGATGATACAAATGGATTCAGGCACATATTATCAATACCATTTTGTAAATTGCATTAATTTGGTAGGCGTGTGCTGTGGAAAACTGCATTGCAGCAGTTTCCTTCTTTGGTCTTATACAAAAACCTTACGATTTCCTTTGAGGTTCAACTCAAGGTTAACCAGTGCCTTAAAAGTGAAAGCGGATGTGAGACTATACTGGTAGTTTAAAGAGTATCCGATGTTAGATGGTCGGCAAAAGCCGAAGCCACAAGAGCCTTGGCCAGAGGTTACAGTTGTTTTTAAGAAGCTTTAAAGTTAATATCAGAAGATGGAGATCAGAAGACTAACACGCGTTATGAAATTATGAAAGACAAACCATACTCAGGCAGCTATCAAAGTTGGAAACAATTCTCTTGGCAGACTCTGCGTTGTCATACTAGAGAAGCTATGTCAAGTCAACGAATCACTTCGTGCTTGAAACATTGGAGTTTCAATCAGCCATCGAACTTCTTAAATCTCTACTGGATTTTTTGAGGTGGCAGCGAGATGAATTTGAAATTAGAGCAAAGACAGAGTAGAAAGTACGGATACCGTGACGAACAAAAATGAGATTATTTATTAGAAAAGAAAACGGATCACTGAGGGTAACGCTGAAGATGTTGCTAGGCGATGAGGACAGACGTTTAAGATGGAAACATATCTACCGATCATACACAAGTTATGATCAGCCCTCTCTCATCTTATTGAAGCATATAAAAATTTCCTGGCAAAATTTCTAACAAAGAATGATGAAGACATTTCAGCAGCAGCAGATTTACTCAGATGACATCGAGCCTGGATTTGTGCCAGAAATCCTTCACTTCAGGAACTTTGTTGGGCAATTTTATGACCTCAGGCACAAACATCAAACACCCTTGTAGTTAACAGCGGATCAACTTCTTCATTCCCTAATTTTTAAGCAGCACTAAGGTTTTGTAGTCTCAACAATAACTAATGCGACTTGAGAAAGGAATTGCCCCAAAATTAAATACTTAGAAAAGCGTACACAGATCGATAATGGCTCAAGAACGACTAAAAACAGACTTGCTCTAATAGCAATTGAAAACGATGTTGTTAAGAACTTACAATTTACAGATTTTTGGAGAAGTTTCAATCTAAGAAATTACGCAAAGCAAATGTTTGAATTTTAATTGTTGTTAGCCTTGTAAAATAAATTTAATTTTTCATTTTTAACTTCTTCGAATTTTGAAAACATCGCTGGGGGATTCACAGTACCTGCAGCCCAGGGGCCTACAAAATCTTAATCCGGCACTGCCAGCGATAACGCCATCTAGCCAGAGTTAAATACAAGGTGGTCCTAGCATCGAGTGCTTTAGGAAACCAATACTTGCGCTGAAAACGGAATGACTCTTTGCACAAAAATATGTGCTTTTACTTTACCTCAGTTAAAACAATATTGTAGTACGGTATGGAAAAAGTTGTTCTAGCAAAACAGCAACAACATTTGTTGTGACGAATAATGGGGGTTAAATGGAAATATCATGTATGGAATTATTTTATTTTTTTCATGGAATACGTGACTTCGGTACATCTGGAGAGTAATAAAGAGAGATTGGCTCCGTTATACAAACTGACTAGCATAAAGTATTTGCTTAAGCCCATGAGCTTCTTGTGTGGAAGCTGAAACAAGACCAACGTCTACCAGGAGGCAAGGAGGAACGAGGAGAGGGCAGATTTAGTTTCGGTGAGGAAATGTTCCTTCAGGGATACGACTAACCGATACCTTAGAGAAAAAATGCTGACAATGAACAAATAAAGCTGATATCTAAGAGGTTCTGCTGATGTAGACGGTTGAAGGAGATGATCCGAAGACACTCAATTATCAGAACATTGAATACAGCAACACTGATTTAAGTTTAGTTTCACTTTTCACAGTGGGATCAGTAAAGAAGCGTTCGGCACCTCCAGTGACCAGCATAGGTTGAGCGGGTAGCTCGAATCTCACAGAGAGTAGGACTCGCTGTCGAAGCACTGTGGATTCGACTTTTGCTGACAGGTTACTCGTTACGGGATAAAAAAAAATGAGAATCGCTATGTAGAAAGGCTGTTGGATATGATCGATGAACTGTAGCGGCCTTCAGGCAGATTTAGTGCGTCTGCTTAATGATTTTGGAAA